TGAATGTTAGAGGCTGTTGCGAACGACGGACCGATCCCACCGCTGCCACCACTGTTGCGAACGACGGACCGATCCCGCCGAAGCCACCACTGTTGCGAAAGACGGCGACGCCAACACGGCCCCGGAGGCGCCACTGCTTTCAACTCCGCCGGGAAGGTCACCAGCCGTTTGGTAGCGTATGTTTATCAGCTCGCGACTGCTTCTGCGCAGAGCTGATAAGACGAGCGGACGAGATGACGGTGAGTTAAACAAGGTTTATGTACAGCATATTTACAGAGGCGTTACAATTTCGGCACTGGGGCCGACAGAGACTCGAAGAGCCGAGCTCTTCTCTCTAACACATAGGTCAGTCTTTCGCCTAAGACCGCTGACTCACACACATGTCGGCACTCCGACACGGGGACGCCTCTCACATAGGACCGCCGATCGCGACGCGCCGCAGGGCTTCTTTTATTTACACCGGGTCCAACCAAAATGTCCAATCAGAAGCGCCGCTGGTCGTCCGGGCAGATTCCGCCAATGGGGGTCGCCGCGCCATGCGTCAGACCACCCGACACGCGGCCGCCGGCTCGCTGTCACGTGCGCCGCTGACTCACTGCACCTGGGCCAGAGGGGCGCCGCGCGTGTTCACGCCGTCGAGGTGATCGCGCCAGGCAGACTGCGGGCTGGCCTTGACCCAGATTGCCTTTTTCCGAGGCACGGACGTTTGACGAGGACTCGCTGGCATAACAAGGCCTTGCTTCTAGGCTCGTGTATCAACGAGTGTAACAAGGCCAAGTGTATCGGTTGTTGTTTGATGAAAATTGGGATATATTGGCAGTTCAGGAGACGAAAGTGGAGGGTGAGGAGGGGACAGAGAGCATGGAGCGAAAGTTCACGGCGCGGTATTTTGTCATTGTGAGCCATGCAGTGTTAGAAGAGAATGCAGTGTTAGAACAGAATGTATCACAAACAGAAGTAGAAGATATAAGCTCAGGCCTGGTAAGTCACAGGTATCTGAAAGCCTGAGTGCTGTGTTTTATAAATTATTTAAAAGCGAATTATCCGGACTGCTTACAGAAGCCTTTAACGAGTCATATAAACTAGATAGTCGGCCTCGGCCTTTAGTGAGGCTCGTACTATATTGCTACGTGCCAGTGCATGGAGCTGAAAAAGAGAAAGTGTATTGTTACTCCCGTAACAATATTGATTCCAAAGATAGTAGAGAAAGAAAAGTTAAAACTAGTTTCGTCATATCGGCCTATGTCATTAACTAATTGCGACTATGAAATCTTGATGAAAGTACTAACGCGGCGACTCCAGGCTGTTATCAACGAATTCGTGAGGTGTCACCAAACTTGCGGCATTATGGAACGTTCTTTTGTGACCAATATACAAAAAATGCGACGCGTTCTTGAGAATTGTGACACCATGGGAGGTCATGTGGTGATTCTGCAGCTCGATCTCAAAAAGACATTTGACTGTGTTTGTCACGTTCTGCTTCTTGCCATACTTGACCATGTGAATCATGGTTTGGCAATGAGAGATGGTGTGGCTTTGGCACATCGCTATTGCCTGACACGTAGTAGTTAATAATACATTAAGGGCCCCCCATTAGCACTAGGCGTACCGACCATCAGGGATGTCCGCTTAGTCCACTTTTGTTCAGCATCTATATATAAACGTTATGCTTAGCAATAATATAAAACTGCAGCATTCACCGTTTCAAGTTGCAGGCATCAGAAGTTAAAATTCTTGCATATGCGAATGATCTCAGTTTCTTGCACAGACAAAGAAAACGTGGCAGAGGTTATTACTCTAATGAATAGTTTATGCAATGCTACTGGTAGCCGGGTGAACTGGGGAAACTGCTTGGCTTTTGGCATGGAGGGTGGTCATCCACACCAGAATTTTTTTGCCAATATGAAGTGGGGGGGAACTCGCCTGTCAAGTACCTAGGGGTACCACTAGAACACTACAAACACAAGAACAGGCAAGAGAAATTCAGTCAAAGGCGAGTAGGTCGCAGGGAAATCCTATCAATGTTCCTGAGAGCTACGGTTTGCAATTTGTTCTTTTTCTGGAAACTGTGGTATGTGATGCAGGTGATGCATTGGTCACGAGCCAATACACAGAAATTTCATTGTGTGTTCGCGGTGTTCGTGTGGGCCTCAAGTGGGGAACAATGCAGTCGAATTAATTTATTTAGGAATGTAAAGAAAGGTGGTTTCGGACTACCACACATGTTCATAAGGCAACTAATAAACAGGTTCTTCTTTTTTCTTAACGTGAGTGATCTATTCCTGCGTATGGTTCACTGAGGCTCACGAGAGCTTCACCCGGATATGTAATGGAAACAGACCACATGAATGGCGCTGTCTGCAGATATATCAATGAGGCGATCTTAAGTATCCGCTTTTTGACTGTCAGATGTTCTAATGAGTGCTTATTTTCAGTGTCACGCAAAAATCTGTACAGAGATGTTTGTGATACAGTTTTACCCGTTCTAATCTACAGGGCCATATAGAGTGGAGGTCAAGGACAGGACGTGCTAAATAGGGTTAAAACTATGCAAGTGGCTCCTGGCCACAAATACCTTCTTTTTTAGGCTTCACACAGGCACTTTGCTCGTCAAGGTTTTTCTGGAAGAGCAGGGTGTCTTTCTCCCTTGGGGGGTCAGACTGTCTCATTTGTAAGAAGCCAGACACTATTGGTCACGTTTTTTTTTGCATTGCTGGGAGGGAGTGTATTTTTGGAATGTATTGTAGAGGACAACCAATAAGAAATTCCCGCTAGACCTATACGGTATCAGATTTCTGCCGATTCAAAATTAGGATTGTTTGCCGTTTGATTTAGTAGTGTTAACAGGCCTCCGCAGTTTATGGCGGGCACGTATGGCAGGATTTCACTTGTAATTCAGACGCACGAGCCGCAAGAATGTGCTTTCGAGAGCACATGGCGAAATTTTTGGAACTTAAAAAAACACGGGAGTCTGTTCCTGAGTGGTTGTCGAAGGTGGAACCCCTGATACCTCTCAAGAAATGTTCAAAGCTAGTGCTTATTCAGTAGGACTGCCACCAGTTGTTTTCGCGACCTTTACGGCATTGTTCATGTATATAGTGTCTGGAAACAAGCAATAAAATATAACCAGTGCTATCTCCGTGGTAGAATACTGGGCTGGCAGCCAGCACACCTGGGTTAGTTACAGCCCATTTCTGTCACTGGTGCTAGGTTTTTTTTTCTAATTTTGCGCGATGTGGTTACGGACACCGGCGGTGGTGGCAGCGGCGGCAGCTGGACAGCTGCGCGTGACCCGAGTTCTGATCTCATACCAGCTTTCGCTGTAAAACACATCTCGTTAACTGAAACAGAGGAGCAAGACTAAAAGAAACAGAGCTTCCATTTAGTCTTGTTCTAGTAAAGTAGAGTACTTTTCCTACTCCGCTGTTAAGCTTTCCTTTTACGTGATGAAGATTAGTTACTTGTGCCTTATCGAAAGAAGCGTTCCTCTATGAGTGTGCAGGTTCCATTTTATGCATGACGAACGAATATCACAATGCACGCAGACAATGCCCATCACGCCAGATCATGAAGATGGGTCACTGTCTTGATCTTCAGTTTGCGTGACCAGCCGCTGTGCTCCAGTAGTGACGTGGCTTTGCTGCGTAGCAGACTGCTGGTGAGTTCAACGCCCGATCACCGCAGCTGTGTTGGAGCGGTCGTAGCAATAAAAAAAAGCGAAGAAGTAAACGCATTCATTGATGTTCACTTCGCATTAGGGTTCGGGGTGAAGGTATAGTCCAAGTTTGTTCGGAGCGTTCCGCTAGAACATTTATGCTTAGCATAACTGTTGCTGTGGGACAGCGAGCGTCCGCAATCAATATTTGATTTCACGCAAGACATGCTGAATAATTGGCACGGTGCCTAAAGGTGCACTTTTGAAAAATTTAGTATGGTGTTGCTCTTTTTGCTTTGGTAGGTAAAGATAGATTCTTCTAGGAGTCTTGCGTCAACATTGTTTCCTGCGAAGATATTTATTTGGCTGTGAACGGTAGAAAGAAAAGGAGGTGCCAAATATCGCGCAGCACTGGTCGTATTGAAAACCAGTTACAGAGCATGTTTTTGGCCTACGTATTACAGTGCAGTGCTTTACGCTCATTAGTGTCTAAATCGAGCACTGTCACATTATTACTGTTTATTCATGTGAAAGCTCTAGATGCCTCATAAAAAGCGAAAAATAACTGTTGGCGTCATGGTGACGTCGCAGAGCGTAAATACATGACGTCGTCGCTTGGTTACAGTTGGGCCGATCACAGCGAAACTGCAATACCAGGTTAGGTGCACAAAGCTTGCGATGCTTCCAACCGGTAAGCTGTGCAAGACCACTTTCACTTTAAATGCTAAAAGCTTTCAGAAGTAAGGGAGGATCAATACTTGTGGACTGAGAAGAAGGATAAGATTCATTTCACCCTGCACAATCATTGGCGTAAGCATGAGGGACCTTAAGAGCATCTGAGTCGCCACACCGTTGCGCTTACTAGTGCTTCTGGTTGTATGCGAGTTGTGTGGTGCATAGTTTCCTGAAATTAACGTTCAGGACACTATGAGAATGATGGGTAGTAGACAAATTTGTCTAGCCATCGTGCCTACAGGCTTCAAACACACTTTTGACTTTGTTTAGTTGCCACGTTTTTGTTTTGTTTCGAATGGAGCAAAGAACTGTCGTGACCTTCGTGACCCGATTTGAATTGGTAAGCCTAAAAGGTTTAATATGTGAAGTGCAAATTACTGAACATTTGCGGATTGTCGCCTCGTGACAAAGCAACTCCAGGCGATGCAAACGCAAACGAAGCCGGAAGAACGAAGACAAAGCTGTGTATTACCCATCTTTCTCATGCTGGCTGAAGTGCCGTGCGTTGCTGCTCTCGTCGGCACTAGCGCCAGATTTACCTCTAGTGTATTCATAGGAACTCTGTGGTGTCAAGAGTTAGTTACGAGGGCCAACGCCCTGACTATCTCACCCTGAACAACGACTTGAAAGTTTGTCTCGTCTCTCCCATAGGCATTTGAGGCCATGCACGTGAACAGCGATGAATCACGGCGGTCGGCAGACTTGATGTGAACTTCGGACACGACGTGCTCTGGTAAGGTCGTCGTTGTCTCTTTGTATCTGGAAAAAAAGTTGGTTCGAGGTGTGAAGCGAAAACGTACGCTAACACACACGTGCGCGTTTTTTTTATGCAAACTTGTTTTTTCTTAGTAACTTTAAGGTACTGTAGAACCAAATACTCTCTCACATCCTCACATCGGATAAATGTTCTGTGAATAGAAAATTTAAGTATGCATTTTAAGTAGGAACTCCTGCAAACATTCAAGAATCGCCAACGGAAAACCAACGGAAAAGCAGAAAAAAAACGACATTAAACAGACAGTTGTGCCATGTCATGGTGAACAGAAGCAGTAAGGAATAAGGTCTATACTTGTGGCGCATTACTAAGGGCAATTGTAGTAAAACAGTCATAGCCATTTGGTGTTTTGCCACAATAGGTATTAAAAAATGAACTTGCTAACAAGTAATATCGCGCACAATACAAACGATAATAATAAATTTAACACATTGGCCAAATAAGACTTCCCATTACAAGGCAAGAAATTGAATAATACGTCTTAACAAAGAAACCTTCTGGTCTTATTCAATTTTAGAATAACCTTTAGTGAACTCAAAGCAGACGTCTAACTTTATAGTGATAGGTGCGTCATTGGTGATGAAAGGCTTTCAGTGTTGATAAGAGCACTGAGATACATTATGCATTTGTGTCTACAAGCCATTTCTTTGCGCCTTCTTTGACTAATGCCGCTTTATGGGCAGCATCGCTAGACACGTGAGACTGGTCTCACTTCCAGGCCACACAACTCAGCAGTACCGCGGCGATTTTTTGAAAATACAACTTTCAGTGACGTTCACCGATGTATCAAATATTGTTGCTGCTAGTTCACAGCGACACTGCAGTGGTCAGCCAAGAAACCGCCACACACAAAAAAGTGTATGTTGTGATAATAGAATGTAATAGTAATCTAATTAGGGATATGTCCTTATGTATCACTCTTGCATATTGATTCTGGAGTACTCAAACTGGCTCTGGAAGGAACAAGTAGCACAATAGGTTTGCCAGATGAGTTAGCTTGGGCTAGTACTTCGTCATTAATGTTTTGTAGAATATCAAACAGGTGCCGATGGAAAAAAAAAGTCTGCAGATTCTGCTGAGAAGCAGTTCTTGCCGTCTTTTTTTTTGTATTTGTGGCGGTGAGCTCTAAGGAGCATAATTTCAGGCTTTATATTTTGATATTCTCAATAAAATCAGGTGAGGCTGTATTCTGTGTCGTGCCGATTCTCTACATTACTCAGTTTCTTCCGATTTCCTTTTTTATTAAATATATATAGGCAGAGATTGGTGCCGATGCGTGGCACCAGCTGTACCTTTCTTCCTGCACACCAGTCGACATCCCATATTAGATAACAAACACAAGGCTATGTATAGGTACACATCACAGCAGTTACACACTGAGTCCAGATTTCTCAGTACAGAAATCTGTCCACACCACACAGAATTCACAAAAACACACGTAATCCCGCAATGGAAAATGTCCAATCAAAACATGAAAGTTCACTTAAATGTCAAAGATGATCATGTCTCTCGGGAGCAGTTCTCTTTATACTGAACTGTTTTCACAAACTTTTTCACACATATATTGTAGAGAAACACAAAACACAAACATATTGTACTGAAACATACCTACTAACAATAACGCAAATACATTATCTTTTTTGGGTTTGATTCTTTTTAAGATATGTCTGATTCCTCAAGAAAATGAAGTACTTGCAAGGCTTGCAGGTTTCTTTTTGGCCATGGACCCAAGATTGTTTCTATTGATGGAGGTCGCTATTTGTTAAAATTTGTAAAAGCTTTTTTGGGGTCTATCGTATTATTACATTGTAGAAGAATGTTCTCAACGTCTTCTTCAGCTTCTACACATGAGCAGGTAGAACTGCCAGCTACTCTTATCCTATACAGAAAGACCTTCAGGTCGGCTGCGCCAAGTTGAAGCCTATAAATGACTATTTTTACAAATCGGCGCACCTTTACGGGATAATAATTTAACACTAAAATCAACGCTACATAATTGAGAGTTTTATGCACCACTTTTCAACCACGTTTTCTTGGACAGTGCATAGCTCAGCTTATCTATTAGACATCGTGCATCGCTCATCGGCAGAGGTACCACTAGTATACTATTCCCCTGATGCGCTGAACGTGCCGTGCGATCAGCTATGTCGTTTCATAGGATTTCACAGTTGCTTTGTACTCACTCAAATTCTTCAGTTCGATAAATTAACCAACACAAGCAAGCCAGCCCAACTTTTAAGTTCTGCTGGGTGCATTGCCATGGCAGTGTTCCATAAACACAAAGAACACTAGCTTTTCTTACAAGACTCGTGTTTCAGCATTACCTAGTTTCAGCTTGGAAGTTCAGAACCTGGCGGTCCTTGGTCCAGGTGATATTTATCGGTTTTTCGCCAAAAGCCTCGCAACGAATTCTCACGTCTTCTCCTTTCTGTACGTTCTGGGAGCTGAACTGGGACTTGAAGAAGGCCGGTACTGTTCAACAAAGAGAGAACAAACGATTTAGAAAAAACATTGTTGGCATCTCAACGCGTAGCACATGATAGACAAGTGTCTAAAAGCTGACAATCACCACCGATAACAATGGCCCTTAACTAAGTCAGGTGTCTCGCATGGTTCCCATATAAACTAATTTTGTGTTAAACTTCTCGCCTGCTAGATGACAACGAGTGCGCTGAGCTCGTATGGAACAGTTAACAAATGCTCTCTATTTGAACTAAAATTCTAGATTTCTTTTTGGTTCATGTCTGGGTGAACGTAACACGTTCTTATTCGAACGTGTTCAATCCATGAATCATCGCTTACTTTAATTTTTACAGAGTTAAATTTTGATGCATTGCTTTTTGTTAAGCACTGATGAGAAACCCTGAAACGCGTTATTTGAAGGTCACAAGTTTGGTTCTTTCCAGCGGTGGTGTATTTTTTCGCCCACTTCTTTTTCTTCATATTTACATTACAACAACTGCTAAAAACATCCCCAATACCGTTCTTCGCATCACCGCCTGTTTTCCTTTATAATGCGGCCACTAGCTGCAGTAGAAACGTTCAAACACCGACAGGCTTGACCAAGCTGCCCCGACGTAGGAGTTGCCCACTGCGTGGTAGGGTGCATACGGCAAAACTCCATTAAAGTTATTTCAATTAATGAATAAATTATTCAATCAATCAATCAATGATTGAATCAATCAAAGCTTACATCTGAGAAAAAGTGGTCTTAGTTAGTTTGAAAAGATTGTTGAAAAGAATGCACTTTGCCCTGGCGTGCGAATTCAGTATGCAAATAGAATCTTCTACCTAAGAGATTGAAATGTCTGCGAGCAAGGAAGCTGTGAATTTTTCAACAAAGACAGACTTCCGGCCAATTGTTTAATAGTAGAGTGCACATACTTTAGCGCTTGTGTGAAAACAAAGACGACTCATTTATTTATTTATTAATTTATTTAGTTAGTTAGTTAGTTAGTTGAAATGATAAAAAACTGCTGACTGAACAAAGGTGAGGCAGTATTCCTAGTAGCTCATAGTTATCGCATTATAAATAGTATAAAAAATCAGTGAACACCTTTAAAGTTGTTACATTGATAGTGCTTGTAGACAAAGTACTTGTTTTTCTGTTCCCATCAAACTTGTTTTTAGCCATAAAATTTGAGCATCGATCCTCCCTCAGATTCTGAACATTTTATTACAAGCATATCTGCTAACAGATATCTAAACATATCTAAACATAGCTAAACATATCTAATACGCGTTATTTAATCTCACGAATTCGAGATATAATGAGGATTAGGAACATGCCCGTATAGGGCATGCGTAGCACTCCCGCATCAACATTCTACGCCACCTAGCGGGACTATAGCTAACGTCGCGTTCATTGAGGCATTAATGCCAACCTCGTAAAATATGCGCGCCGACTTCCAAATATTCCGCAATGATTTTATCTTCCTCGCAGAGAGAAGGGACATTTCGTTTTACTCTTTTTATTTATTTAACGGGTTTGGTCGGAAAATGGGGGCTCACCGTGAACGCGCAGCTTGATCACTTCGCTAAGGCTCGGCTTCACGTTGTTAGTCGCCTGGCACATGTACTCGCCGGCGTCCTTGAGTCCAATCTCGCGCAGCACGAGCGAGCCGTTTTCGAGGATTTGTATGTATGGATTGCTGATGATGGTCTGTGACTCCACCAGTGGTCCCGCTGCGAATGAAATAAAACAGACGCACGCATGCAAACGTAAGTATGCGCTCACACACATGATTAGCACTCCCTCCATCTCTCCACCCTCACCTTCGATACAGAGTGTATAGGAGGAAATCAGAGACCAACCCGCACGCACGTTCACCACCCGTAAAACAGCCACTGCACGCTTCGACAGGTTCGGCGTTACAGGCGAAAATTGTGCTTTCCAACGGGCAATGAGGGTACGGCGAAGTACGTCGGCCGCTGGTGTTGATTCTAGGTCTAAATATAATGAAAGCTGCGCGGCACCCAACAACACGACAGAACCAGCGGCTCACTGTTGCGAAAACAGCGGCGTCCGCCCCTATACTGTAAGCTCATGAAAATGTCGAGCGTATACGTATGTGGCGCTCCTGGGTTCCGTGAGCCACTCCTCGGTCTTCAATTCTAATCCCTTCGCGAGAGAGCTCGTCTGTACGTGTACACTAGAAGCGGACGCACTGCGTGCGGGTCGCAACAAAAATTCCATTTCTATGCAAATAGCGGTGCGGGCGCGAACTGCGTTACCATAGTTAATGGGCGAGAGAATCGAAGAGGCTGGGAGAATATGCGCATATAGATATATATGTATTTCCTCCCGACCGGTCCATGCCTGCAGGTTTTGCCTTGCGAGCGACGCTTTCTAACAGGAGATGGGTAGGAGCAGATCGGATGGCTTCCGCGAGCAGCACGAAAAAGTGTTGGCGTTTTGGTTTTGGACGCAAAAAAACGTAGCTGACGATCAAAGAAAAAATAAGGAAGATGCAGATGCCGAGATCGCACTTTTGCGTCGACACAGACAGAAAGCAGGCCCATTTCTTGTTCTCCCCTTCCTCACTCACTGTTTCTCTGCTGATGCCGGCTTTTAGCGCCTTGGTAGAGAGCATGACAGAGCCGAGGGGTAGTAGAGGAAATCAAGAAAAGTGCAAAAACCCTCGAAGAAAGTTGCTGCCGAAGGCAGAACCACAGCTCTGATTCGATATCGACGTAAACAGTGCGAGCGGGCGTCTGTTTTTGTCGTTTGCACTGTTTGTCTGAAGCGCGTGCGTTTCATCGTCGCCTCTGTTTGTAGAAGCAGCGTGTGAGCCCCCCTCTTCGCGAGGATGCTATATGGGAAGGTGCCAGACGCGCGGCAAACAGAACCGAAGGGGGTTGAACGCGTGCGACGTGAAACAGCTGTAAGACGACCACGCCGACGTGCGAGTGATAAAGGCGCGCGTGAGAGAATCGAGCAGCCTTCGCGATGGTCGGACCGACGACGATGCTTGGCGGCGCTTCGGCTGCGCATTCCGAGATATCCTGTATCTTCCCCGTTCCTTCTCCAGCAGCCATGTCGTCATTGCCTTCGTCCCACCGCTGTCAACGATCAAAACTTGGGAGAGCGGAAGGAAAGAGAGAGGTAGTGCATTCTCTGCGTAAACTGTTGGAGCTGCCATGTATATAAACATGGGTGCTTTGATTTGCGCCTTTCTTGCGACGCAATGCCAGTCAAGTTATTGCCATACGCTTATCCCTTACATCTCTGACTTTCTGATATCGCATGCTTTGTCCTCGCCTCGTGTTTTGAGCGCCTCCGGCCTGACGCAGATTCCGGGAAGCACCGCTTGAGCCATTTGGGGATGCGTTTGATTTAACCGAATTTCATTTTGTCGTCTTCGTTTTTTTTTTGTCTACGTTTACTCGGGCTTCCTTTCTGAAGGAAAGTGCGTACGCCTCGAGCTCCTATTTATTCAGGAAGGCAAGAAGCAAGCGCAAGAAAATTTGCAAATGAAACCCTAGTACGTGATTTACCTTCTAAAACGTGACCGGGATGACCTGAGATACCTAGCTTAAGGTCTCATAAACTGCCGCGAATGTCTCGAAGACATAGCTTGTTGCTATTACTGAAGTTCATGTCCGATACCTTTCACACCTACGCAGATCTCCGCCCATAGCCACTTTCTCTTTTGTTTGCTGATTGTACTAGGTATCTCCCGTAATTCTAGCTATCAGTAACCTACTTCCTCACTACCGCTTTTGCGCTTTCGTCTCGTATAGGTTGAAAAAGAAACATAAACCTCGTTTCACGTCTAGTGTAAGTATGCTGCCAAGTTTTATTGTCATTGAAGTTGAAATGCGTGATGCGTCGCTTTAGAAGTAGTCGGAAAAGGCTGTTTTCAGATACTGCTTTTCTTCTCCCTCTTCTTTGTGTTGCTATATCTTTTTCACTCTTCGTCAGATTTTGTAACGAAGACTGCATGCGCTGCTGAGGCAATATCGATTCTCTCTCTCTCTGTCTCTCATTTACGCTGCTGGAGAATGGAGCTCGCCTGTCGATGCTGGCGGCGACAGCTGACGGTCGAGGCGATCGGCTCCGCACATGAAGACAAGCTAACACGGGAACGAATGTCTCGTCCATAGCCAACGGGAGCGCGCAATTCGAATTCCCTGAGTATCGATAGCAATGCAATATCGGCAGTTGCCTCTATTCATCTGAAACAAAAGAAATAAAAAGTCACCAGGCCTGCTTGGCCCGCACAGCACAGTCACAGCGACAGCTGAGAGAGTGGTCTTTCCGGAGCCTTTTTTTTTTTTTGCAAGCGTAGTTGCATGGTTCTCACTAAACTATGAAACATCGTAAATTTTGTGTAGTGGGGAAGCGTCAACTATGCTGTTATTCGTCATTCTTCGCAAAGGCGTCGAACTTTGTACCCACTTGTATCCCAGTATGTACACTTTGTTAATGTCATGGCTGAGGACGCCAAAGAATTATTCTTGAGACTTTTGTAATGAGATGGGTCAATCAACGACCCACTCGTTACGCAATTCGCATTGTGGGACGCCTGATTGCTACTTGGCTGTTCTAAAACGATGAATTATACATGTTTACGCGATTATTCAACCGGCATAAAACTTTCATAGGGTCAGTTTGCATTGCCATGCTGTTCAAAGAACAGCAACTCAGTGGTAGACTACTGGGTTTCCACGCAGAGGCCCCGCTTTTGATTCCCGTTCTATGATCGGCGTTTGGATTTATTAAATGCGAAACTACTTAAGGTCCAGCTTAATCCGGTGTGAGGCGTGACCACCCTTACGGCGCATGCGTGTCCCCGCTTCCTCTCTCTCTCCTTTCCTACGTTCGCCCCTCTCTCGCTTCGCGACACCAACGCAGCTATCGTCTGTTTGTGAGTTTCTAGATTGAAAAAAAATACCGACTCTTTGCGTTGCACTACCTTTCACTGACCAGCCCCTATATATAGGCACTAATCTTAATCTCCAGGATTATGCCAGTGGTTGATTGCTCCAGTGCGTTGTCGAAAAATGCAGCATGCGCGTGAGCTGAAAGCAGACTGCACGTCTCTGTATCCAATCGAAGTTTACTGTCTCTCTTTGCCCATTAGCAGTGATTGGCATGTTCCAGTAGGAAACAATGGTCCATCACTGCGTGATTTGCGTCTCCCCAGGACTCTTTCTTGCTCAACGCCGCAAGGAGTGCCAACGTCAATTCTGCTGCCAACGTCAATGCCACCGCCAGTGTAAGCGTCACCGCCCACTGCTTCACACCTACGCATGGTTCCTTTTAACGGGAGATGGTGTAATTTCTTAATTTGTTTTGTCATTTCGAAGGTAGTGGTAACAGATTCCGATGGTGGAATGGCGGTGGTCAGTGGTGGCACCAGAATTGGTCTTTGTGATTTCATGACAACTTTGTGTGTAAAAAAAAATCGCTATATGACAGCTGGAGGCCGTGCAGATTATGCGAGGTTATTGAATGTTGAGTCACGTCATTAACAACTAATCAAAACGAAGTGGTTCTTTGGTCAGTTAGTAGCTGAAATAATCAAGCTGGCTTTTTGTCAACATAGTTTTCTGAGAAAACAAATATTTCGCACGACATATTACTGTAGAACATATGAACCTGAGTGCACCGGAGGATTTTACCGCGTAGTGAAAATTATTTTACGCTTGCTGAATTTGTCGCCTATAACTGGTCTATGGTGTAATAAGAGGTGAAAACTTTGCTGATTCTCGCTTTTTTTTTCTCACGCCTGTTTTTATTTCTCCGTTCTTCTTTCGGGTCTCAATATCTCTTCTCATTGCCCCTGTTGTGCTTGTTTTGTTTTATCTTCTTCCTTCTCCCTCGTGTAGTTGTTCTATTTTAAAGATGAACTCAAACGAACTTGCCCGAATATACACTCTGCCCCTGTTCTTACGTGGTACACAAAGCTTTCAGCTTCGGTTCACTTGTGCACCCTTCCGACATTAGTTTGTAATTAGCAAAGCAAATCATTGGTTAAGTTGGTTTCCTTACCTATATAAATAAGTATTGTCTTTAGATACTGCTACAGACGTATTGTAACGGGGAGTATTCAATAAGTTAACGCCGGTTGGACAAACACTGCACACAGTGTGCAAGGATGCAGGACAACAGGGCAGTCCAGATCCGGCCCCACAACAACATCGTCGTCTTCATACCTTCTGCGTCACTTCTGCACCCGTGCCTGAGGTACCTTTCTGTACCCGTCACATTACCCCGGGCGGAAAAACACCGTCCCGGTGCCTGCTGTTATTAGACGGACGGGTCACTGTAATAGGGCTTCAGGCGAGAAACATGCACAATGTCACTTCTGTATGTAACAGTGGGGTTCGTAGTAGGAGAAATTTCATAGGTGACAGGTGTGATTTGGCGCAGAACTCGGTAAGGCCCAACGTATTGCGATAGAAGTTTCTCGCACAGGCCGACACGACGGGATGGCCGCCACAGTAGCCCGAGAGAGCCCAGAGAACAATCGACATTCTATGTCGGTTGTCGTAGAGCGACTTTTGTGCTCTCTGGGACGATGAGAACCGCGAGAACGACGCGGCTGCAGCAACAAGTGGGGCGGGGTGGTAGTGAGCATTAGGATTTATAGGCTGCGGTGTGTGGGTGGAGTTTTTGGGAACGAAGACGCCCATGTTGGCGCACTCCTGTCGCACAACAGCCTGAATAAGAGATATTAGGAACAAGTTGTCAGGCACAGGGGGTTAATAAGCAGAAGGAGCCATGGCTTCCAGCTCTTGGTGGACAGTTCTTGTGATGTTTGGAGGATTCACGAATGGACATGGTGCCACAGGATTTTCGCAGGAAGAAGTCGCAGTGGTGTTCAGTAGTCGGAAAAAACGTTGAGTTATTCTCCTGCTTTTGGCTTGTTTGAACCGCTGACATTCACTGACAATTGAGCCAATGGTGCGATATTCCTGCATATCAGAATGTTGAAGGCATCGTTGGCTATGCCTTTCAACACATTGCTGACCTTGTCTAGCTCGGTCATGTCTTTGTCAGCCTTCCGAAACAAGGCGAGCACGTCTTGGATATAGGTGACGTACCACTCGGTGGAAGATAGAACTGGTGACGCGAATTTGTGCCTGGCTGCCATTCGTTGAGCAACTGAGCAGCCGAACAAGTCACGGAGCTTCTGCTTGCACTCGTACCAACTCATCAGGTCTTCCTCGTGCGTCTCGTACCAGGCGCGTGCAGTACCTCGCAGGTAAAAGATTATGTTGGCCAGCATAAGCGTCTCATCCCACCTGTATTGCTTGCTGAAGCGCTCGTATAAGGTGAGCCACTCGTCAACGTCAGTTGTGTCAGTACCGCAAGTGTACTTGTATCGAGAAGATGGGAAGGGACCACAGGTGACGGGGCAGGCGTAGACTGAACGGACGGCACACTGCCTTCAGGCATCATGGCTGGATGAACTGACGTCCACTACGGAGATCCAGAGTGGGAATTTCACCCAGTACTTCAACCAAAAATATGTAACGGGGAGTATTTAATAAATTAACGCCGGTTGGGCTAACACTGCACACAGCGTGCAAGGATGCAGAACAACAGGGCAGTCCAGACACGGCCCCACAGCAACATCGTCGTCTTCATCTCTTCTGCGTCATTTCTGCACCCATGCCTGAGGTACCTTTCTATACCAGGGACAGTATTTTTGTCTCTAGTTTTGTTAGTTGTAGATTCTACAGTTGTGAGGACTTTAACGTCAAGTCGCCTATAAATCCTACATGCTAGAGATGACATGCAGATCGGTTCTTAACTTCATCATTCTCAGCTTTCTTTAGTCCACTGCAGGATGAAGGCCTCTCCTAATTATCTCCAATTTACCCTCTCGTGCATGAGCTGATTAATTTTTATCCGTGTAAACTTCTTCACTTCTTCATTGCATCTAACTCCCAGCCTTTGCCGATCGCTTCTCCCATTCGTTGGCCGTTATTCTGTCGCCATTTTAAGTTGTCTGGTCCGCGCATCACGTGTTCAGTCCAAGTCCATTTTCTTTGCTTGATGTCTACGAGTATATCAAAAACTGTTGTACCCTTACCCACTCGGCCATCCTCCGATATCCTAATGTTATTGCTGTCCCTTTACAATTCATAGCACGCTGAATGGTCGCCAGCCTTTGCTCTAGTTGTTTTGCTATTATCCACGTTTCAGCCCCCGATGTTAGAACTGGCAGTATGCAGAGACTATCATTTCTGCTTTTATCATAATGATACACTTTCTGACGTTATTTTAAAGTTCTTGCCGAATGCGCTTCCACCAATTTGCTTTCTTCGGGGAAATTAGTGTTTTTCCATGATTTTGTTTTCTCGAGAATAGTTATCCTAGGCATATATATTCTTGTATACACTCTAGTGCATTATTTTAGAGCTTAGACATTTACCATTTTACCACGCTATTTCACGATATATTTGTCTTTGACATGCTCATTTTGAGACCTACCCTAATATTTTCTCTGTGTAATTTTGGAGTATTAACCAGAATATTAATTGACTAAAATATTTTTCTAGCACTACCACATGGTATAACGAAATGCTTGAGGGATCCGCAGCAAAACTTTGAATTGAAAAGCAGACTAAGGTAGGTAATAGAGCGAAATATCACGGCACACCACATTATTTACACGCAATGAGCGAGGCTTCACGTTAACTCATTACTGTTATTATATTCAATAAAATGTTTACGGGGACCTCTGCTGCAAAATCAGCGTACTGAATTTTCTGGCCTCTCAATCAATAGGCATCCTTGAACGTCAAATATAGAACCCTTCTTCATTAAATATTGCTGGTTATGTATGCTACGCAACCTATTTATTTAAGTAGCAAATAGTTCTTACAAAGTTTCGGGCGAAAATGGAAAGATGATTTTAACTCGCTGCCATAAGATATCACAGAATATTGTTTTACTAGCGCCAAATCGAATGGATGTTTTCTCTCAGCGTGCCAACGCTGAAAACACACTAGAAATCATTGCTGTGGTAGCTTATCTAGCACTGTGTGTTATAAGCGCAGTAGCTCAATCTACTGCGCTAAAGGCACGTGTAGAGGCACGAGAGGCAGGTTGAAGTTCAGAGCGAACCGTAGCCGAGAGATGCTTCATGGTGTGGACTTACGGATCATCTTCTTCCACCTGATTTGGGGATGGGGGACTCCGTCGGCTTGGCAGTCGATGATGATACTCTCTCCGAGAATACCGGCTTTGTCAGTGGGCTGCTTCCGCCAGTAAGGAGGAACTGGAGGCGCAAAAAAGGAAGAAAAAAAGGCAAAGTTCATAAACTACAATGCCAAGTATGTACACTGGTAAGACAGCATAAATTCCGCTATTCATTGCGAAAATGGAAGAGATAGCTTCGATGCGATGAATCAATGTGAATGTGCCCAAAATTTCGAGGCTTGCGTATGTTGCGCCGTCTATCGGTGGTGACCGGGCAGCCACTGCCGCCTGATGGCGCATGTCTAGTGTACATCCATGCGTTTTCCAATCTCCTTCTTTGTGCTGTAATGGCGGGTTGAACGTATCGACCATTTTTTTTCTTTTTTCTTAACATAATGTAATTTTTGCTATCGCATTCATTGCCTCTCTCTAGTAGCGAAACTGAGTGCGAACCGCATGCAATAAAATAATAAATACTTATTCCACGATTGAAATATATCATCTGAGTTTTCGATACATGGGAACCACAAGAATATTCTAGGCGTCATTCTAATGCCAATTCACAAAGCATCTGCTTTCCCAGGCCATTTCAAGCTTTTATCGCACAGCCTATGGAGAGCTGTCTCAATATAGACGTATTTTGGCCTTTTTCAACTTCGATTGCAAAGCTCACAGAAGAGCTTTTAAAAAATTCGCGCATCTCCACAAAGTGAATGATGACGAGGGGGGCATAGTATATTCCAACGCGGAAGTCGCTGGCTAGTAAAAAGGGTTTATGCCTATAGATGTTTTAAAGTTCATGCCATTAACTACTGTTTGAGTATGTACCCTTTTTCGTGAGGGCTAGAATATTCATCACCTCTGTTGAATATTCTAGCCCTCCCTCATGCAATACTCCCACTCAGGAGCCTGTGAGGTCTCTGAAAATAAAAAAATATAAAATTGTTTTTACAAAATGATAATTGTTGTTCATTCATTGTAAACCCTTTTTTTCTTTGATTTACGTACATGCATGTTTCAACTGTACCGATGGCTTTCTAACCACCATGACAGTTGACAGTGAGCTTCGACGACAAGGCCAGGTCCTGATGTCTATTATGTGTACGTTGAAGTCAGCGACAAATGTAAGAAGGTTTGTGCTTCGAGGTGTTTTATATTGTTTTGTCACAACTATCATTGATAACAGTTCATCTTAAAACATATTTTGCCTTTCACATCTGTTTCTCACACCCACGAATCTCCGCGCTACGAACGTAGATAACTGGGCCCTAAGGAGCCCTCCCTCAAAACTTCTAAATTTTGCGTGACGAAGAAGCATTTTTTCAACTGAACTGCTACTATACTGCGTAGCAAAACCATGCTACTTCCTTGGTCGTTCTTGTATGCCCTAATCTTGTTTCCAGAGTCCACACCTGCTCTTACATTGTATCGGGTTGCATCGGAACAGCCGGCGATGCTGACAAAATTGTCGAATAGTATGCTCGGGAGCATGTGTGCGAGAGCACGAGGAGGAAGGTGCTTCAATTCCTGAATGAGTTCACCCAGTCACTGCGGCGGGCAGGTCGCACAATTTTAGGCACTGTAGTCGCATTCGTAGGTCGGCCAACTCCCCGTCAATCAGTTCACTCAATTGACTCGCTTAAAGTCCCACCAAGCCATGAGTCTGAGCCTGATAGAGTACGGGTGAATAATATTTTGATGAGTGTCAGTGTGAGTGAGTTCACTTGAAGAGACTTTTCGTGAGTTGTAGTGTGAGTGAGTCCGTTTCAGCAATATTTTGATAAGTCTGGGTCCGAATGAGCGCTAAGTGAAAAATATATTTCATGACTGAGTCTGAGTGAGCTCCACAATTTTCACCGGTCTATCATCTGGTGACAGTTTTGGCAACTATGTCTGTGTCCTGAATTACCGTGGGCATATCAATCATCAACAGAACCATGTTCTTTTCAGCAAACTACATATTAGAGAATAGTGAACTTATAGACTACCTAACATTAAAAAGATGAGTGTGATATGAATTAAGCATACCACTGCAAAGTGTTTTTCGCTGAGCTATGAAACTTTATTTTCCATCTTTTTTTTCTTCTTCCGCCTAGTGAAGTAGCAAGCGAAATATTTCTATTCTGGTAAGTCGCCTTGCATTTTCTTGTATCTCTTTCTCGCTCTCGCTCTATGATGCGAACTGCAGAAATTCGATGTGTCCTCTCGGCCCTTTTCTCTTACTCTTCCATTTCTGATCAGTCTTTTTCTCCCCTTCTACCTCTCAAATGTCGCACGCATCTTTTTACCGTCAACCTTTCTAGTTTTCCTTTCTTTCATGCCTCTCTCTGTCTTGGCTGCAAGAATTATTCAAGCATGGTATGACCATGGATACTTCCAAGTATTTAAATCGTTTTATATCTGTTTTAGCGTTGAGGCTGGGCTCTCAGGCTAGTGAGTACTGTTTTACAACATGCAACTCCACTGACTGCGTGCAATGGGTAGGCACCAAAATTTTCTTTGGAAGTGCCGCTCTAACGTGAGAGATTATAGAGCAAAAATTGTAGTGTTTGTCAATCAGTTAGCTCAAAAAGTGTTGAGTTTCAATTATATAGTAATTCCTGTGTATTCTAGCATTTTTTACTTATTTACCTCAGGACTACACCCTTGTTTTTGCACGCTTTAAGAGAACGTTTGTTTTAGTCTGCTGTGGTGGGGCTGTGGTTATAGTGCGTGACTGCTGATTCGAAGGTGGCGGTTGCATATTGGTGGAGGAGAATCGATAGAGGCTACTGCACTGGCGTGATATCCGTGCACGTTAAAGAACACCAGTTTGTTGAAATTGGGGGCCCTCTACTAAAGCGTCTCTCATAACATTATTGTAATATTGGACTTACAGCGCCACATATCATCGTTAGAGCGTTTTTTTTTCACTGTGATGTTCAGCCTACACCAGTGTTGAGCATTTAACACCACGACCTATTAGTGAGTGAGAATACGTTAAAAACGAAAACGGAATTCGCCTACGGCCATGCATTGTTCACTAAAGAGATGGTACTTTCTTTCCTCAATGCTAACAGCTAAATCTCTGCATTTTTTTTTCAAAAAAAAAGTGTTCCTTGGTAATGACACCACTAAATCTTGTCGTAACTCGGGCAACGTTGCCACTGTAAGGACACTGTGCTTTCTTCTAAGCAGACAGCGAGAAAGTTTGACACAGCAACTACACCATGCTTCACTTTTCTCACCAGTTCAGCTATTTTCATTAATTTCCTTTTTTACGCTCTTATATTTGAACTTACATGAAGAAGAGCTCACAGTTCACGAGAACAGTTCTCGCTCGCCTGCTGTTTTTTTTCTTTTTTTGGCAGTTTCTGTCATCACGGTAAGTTCTCGCTTTTTTTCAGGATTGAAAATTGGGGCAGGGTCTTTTTCGGCAGGCGCTATGCCGAAAATCTGCAGGAAGCTTTTTATAAATTGCCCCGATCCGACAATATGATTAGGATAAATTGCAGGCGGACCGATTCCACACGTCAAGGCCGGCAACAATTTCCTCCTGCCGAAACGAACGAGGCAACCGAACATCTACGAAGGGAGAAAGAAATAAAATGTACGTTTTGCCGGCCACACAAAAAGACGAGCGACGACATTGCCAGTGATCCAGAATAAACTCCTTCAAAGTTTCAGTGAGAAAATAGCAGAAAAAAACCCCAAGGCTGACAGAATTGTGGGCGTCAGAGATGCTACTTTTCACACCACAGTGTACGTAGTTTTACTGTTATTTTCGCAAAGCCTCTTCTATACTTATCAACCACGCCTACGTCAGGCTCCGGCACTACTGCGGGAAATTCTTATTTATGGCATCTTAGCGGCGCTTGGCGTTCGAAGAGTTCGCTTTGAAATCCAGCCACTCCGGCCTCTCACGGAATATGGTGAGCAATGGTCTCAACGTCAGAGCACGCAGCGTATGATGGCTTTAAAATTTCACTTGGAGAGGGAGTAGAATTTAGAAGAAAGACAGCATTGTCTAAATTCATGTCACGTATAGGCCTTTTTTTTTCTTTCCTAATCTCTGTCTCTCTGAATTTTATTTTTTATAAAAATGTCTTGTCCGTACAGCTGTTCATTCAAACGTATAACATACATGTTCATCATTTTAAAAGAACATCTACTGTTTTTAGCAGGTTTCTTGAGTACCAGATATACACGGGTTACCCACTTATTCGGCGCACGTTTCATAGATTTATACCCTGTCCCTCGTTAAGGAAAACACATTATTCAACTAACTGGTCAATGAAGAATATTGCAAAAACAAGCACGTTCCTTTACCATGGACTCTTTAACTGATAAGCTAACGGAAAACTTTTCATTTCATATTAGAAAACTTACTAAACAAGTATTGTTTGGTTTGTGTGGTTTCACGTCCTAAAATCACCATGTGATTATAAGAGACGTTGTAGTGGTTAATTTCAGAAATTTGGAAATTTTGACCACCTGGTATTCTTTAACATGCACCCAAAGCTGAGCACACTTGCCGCCAGCATTTTTGCCTTCATAGAACATGCAGCCGCCGCAGCCGGGATTCGATCCCGCGACCTGCGGGTCAGCAGCCGAGCACCTTAGCCACAAGACCACCGCGGCGGGCCTACTAAACAAGGACAGGAAAATGATAGAATAAAAGCATTGTTATCACATGTTACATTCTATTATAAGCAATATCAGCAATATTTGTTACCTGTTTAGCGCATAAAGAAAAGGGGGAATAAAACTTTATGTTAAGTACAGCAAATTTTGAAACTTAATATAATTTACCGCCTATAGCTTGCATCCCTCAGATATTGAAATCCTGCTACTATTCAGTGTTGCTTCCAGTATGCTTCAAACTAGAAGAGTTACATTCGTTCAAGTTTAATAAATATATTGAACAAATTAGCTAAATTATGAAAACTGCTTATTAATCAATCGACGATTTAAAACGTACATGCACGTCATTGCATGTGTGTTCAAAATTCGCACCTTTTTCAATACATTTTTTTTTTGATTGGCATGCGCAAATGTCATCGCAAGTTACGATTTATGATAAGCAATTATACCAGTTTT